ACACACACAGAGACAGACAGACAGACAGACAGACAGACAGACAGACAGACAGACCTTTAAGAGAAGGGTCACATTGTGGAGAATTCTGAGACAGACCCAATAAAAAGCAATGGATGGAAGTTATTATTTTCCTAATCTACTGCGTATTTTGCAGGCATCTGGTCTCCCCCCTGCCCTTCCTTTCTGCCTCATAACTCCAGGACCCCTGAAAAGCAGCACAAAGGCAGGGAGAATTTAAAATACCAGATTTTAAAAACAAACCCCAAGAAAGGCAATATGCATTCTTTGCAGGGAACAAGGAAAGCCCTGAGCACCACATCGCTTTTCAGTTTGCTTGTGGGTGTTTAAAAAAAGCAAAGCCACCTCTTCTTTTGCAACACGCTGGCTGAAACGCTGCTGCTTAGCTGATGAACAGGAAACACAGTTCAGAAGGGAAAAGTCGCAGTGAGAGTAGGCCTGCTTGAATCAATGGGACTTACGGAGGAGTTGTTCTCACCGGATCCCCGTGGGTTCAGTGGGCCGACGCTACTACAGCTTTACTCTCCTCAGCAGCAGGAGTTTGCCAAAGGAGATGCTCTTCTCTCTCTTGCTGTTCCAGGAGCTTGGCGAGAAAGGCGCTCGCACGTTGAGCAAGGAAAGGCACCTGGCGAAAGAGTCACAGAGAGTTTATTTGCATTCTGCTTTTTCCTTTGGAACGGTTCACAAAGACAAACAAATATGGCAACTGTAATTAAAGTCATAATATTTGTTTAACACATTTGTAGCCCGTCTTTCTCCTTAAAAGGACCCAAGATGGGTGATATTATCATAACATTGATTTAAAGTGGCTGTCATCACCTTGAAGTGTTCCAGGATTTGAGACAAACAAGTCGTACCCACCTTATTTGTTGGGTTTGCAGTATGTTTTAGATCTGCCTTTTAAAGATCTGTGTTTAACTGTTTTGAGCTTTCTCCTGTGAACTGGTTTGGGAGCGCTTGCGGGCAAAAGGCACTGATCAAGAGCTTTAAATAGGCTTGAAATAATAAAGTTCTTCCTACTAGAGTCCCATATCCTGAAACTACCAGAACGACCCCCCACCCCCCCTGGGACAGATAATAGAGTGTATTTGCTATGCTAAGAAAGACCTTTTGTGCGCTCTTTCTTGGCCTTGTACCTGGGCTACTCTCTTCACGCGGCCGATGGGATTCTGCACTTGCCAGACGTAGCCCGTGCACTGCGGACATGTGGAGTAAACTCTGCTGCTGCGGATTGCTGGTTTGGAATAGTAAGCAGCTATCTGGCTTAGCAGTAGGATGATCCATCTTTCAAAAGATGTCAGACCACCTTGCAGAGTGAAAATAGCCTATGAGGCGAGCTTGGGAAACCGGTTTAAAAACCAGTGCATTTCTTTTATCCTTAGCGGAAAAACGAATTAACTATTTGCTGGGGTGGGGTTTACATCAGAGGTTCCTTTTGAAAGAGAAATCCACCATGGCCCAGACTGAAAAGAACAGGCAAGGCCCTGCTTGATAGTGACTGGGAATGAATCAGTTGACAGATGCCTGCTGCTCATCCGCCCTCAGGATTAGATCCGAGGGATTCTGGGTGTATTTTTCTTCTTCTTCTTTCTAACCTTTTGCATCTTGGCATGCAGCTGAATAGAAAGGGTGGGACGGGGACTGAGCAGCTGCAGGGTCCAGACTGAGGAGTGTGTGTGTGTGTGCGCGCACGCATGCGTGTGGGACTATTTTTGGATGCTTGGCCACAGTTAGAACCTTGGCACCATCCCAGGAAGGAGGCTCGCTTTGGATCAGGCCTCCCTCCTGGGCCGACTTGCCCATTGAACGGACCTCTTGCAAAGGAAGGGCTTTCAAAGAGAGCGTCTCCCGGCCGCCGCCACGTAGCTGGGAAATTGTGCAGACTTAGGGATGTTCAGATCTGTCTTGTTGGGGCGGCAGTCCCAAGAATCCTATTTGCTGTTCTGCAGCCTCACCCACCTGCGCATCCCCTCTAGCACAGATGAATCTGCTGTGGCGGGTGGCTGGAAAATGTACTGCGTTTGGTAGCACCCTTATTTCCCTTGGGGGAACGTGGTCACCGTCTGGATTGCCCCAGTCGGGTTAAGAGCAGAAGATCAGGGAAGGAAGAGGGGCTTGAGAGTGGGATCACTCGTGGCCTTTTGAGCAGCCGGCGTGCGGGACGTCTCTTTCTGCTCCAACCACTTTTCCTCTTCAAGGATGCTGTACTGCAGAAGGGAAGCCTTGAGGAGCATCGGGATGGGTTTCTGCAACCCCAGCTGTAAAAAAAAAAAGGAGCTGGAATGTTGAACCCCTTGCTTTCCCCCTGGAAGTGTTTATTTAGGCGGTGGAGGGTTTGCATCTGTTGTCTTAAACTAATAGGAAGGAGGAGCGCGTCCCCACCTTCCTCCTGCTCGGTAACGCACAGATGTTGCCCTAGCTGGTTTCCTGCGCGCTCCCTGCTGATCCCCTCCGGTGGCACTCGCTTCTGCTTCTGACCTCAAATATGGGAGGGTCGTCCTTGAGCTGGCTGTCTTGATAAGCTCAGAGGGTTTTTCAAGATTAAACAATGTAATTCCCAAACAGGATTATTGCCCAAGGAAGCAGAGGGAAGGAATGGCTGCTTCTCGGACAGAGCGTGTCTTTTAAAAAGACAACACAGGCCCACATGCTTTGCTTCCTGCTACGGGTGGGGTGTGTGGGTGACGCCTTTGTTTTCGGCCGGGTTTGTCCACTGAATGAACCTGATGTGTGCAAATAGAAGAAAAAAGTCTTGTTTCCTAGTTGCAAATAAATCCCCTTTTAGAAAGGAAGCAAAGCCAGGAGCACAGGCCCTGGCAGGTCCTGCCGCGCTCGTAAGGCTTCGAGCCGAGGACAGGTTGCTTGCCCGCCATCCCAGGCTGGCCCCACTGAGCATGCATGCCTGTTGCCTCTAAGGTGGCCACCAGAGGAGAGGCTGGCTGGAGCAACTGTGAACGCGGCAGTGGTGTGGAAGTGCCACGGTAGGCACCCGCACCAAAGGGCCGGCAGACTTTGAAAACACGTGGGCAAAGCCGTGGTTTGCCGATGGCCCAGGACAGAATCTGCCACTGAGTTGGCTATAGCATTCTTCAGTTACTGCTTGCTCTCTTCTCTGCCGGTGGGGAAAAGTTTCACTGATGGAGCGCAATGGCTTTCTCTCGACAGCGTGACGCTGAACAGCGAACATGGTGACATCCTGGTGGACTACTCCAAGAACCTGATTACAGAAGAAGTGATGAAGCTGTTGATCGAAGTGGTAATTATGGGGCAGCTTGCATGAGAAACGTATAACATTTGTATAATTTCTTAGATCTAGATTATGTTTACCAAGGACCGAAAGGAAAAAAATCTCCCGGTGATCACAAAAAGCAAATTCAATCACGAAAACCATAAACTGCTGGCAGGCTCTGTTGTTGACCATCTCTGAAGGACGGGGTTCCTAGAATTAAAGATATACAGGCCCACTTCTGTAAAAACCCAGAGCCTGGCCTCTCGACTGTTTGTGCATGAAATCGGTAGGATATTGTCATGACGTAATGAGCGTCTATTTGGAAAAATTTTTAAAAAACAGCCAGAGAAAACGGATGTGGTGTGTGTAGCTCCTTTTTTTGCCGAATACGATTTCTTCCCGGAGGCATGCTTTGTTTTACCCTTCCACCTAAGCTGAGCTAGATTGGATATGTCGGTTCTCACAGCCCTGTTGGCTATGAAGTGAAGGTGGGTCTGAAAGATAAAATGAAAGAGCTCTGTTTTCCACTTTGCAGGCTAAATCCAGGGGCGTTGAAAAAGCTAGAGAGCAGATGTTCACGGGTGAAAAGATCAACTTTACTGAGGTATGGACTGTTTTTCTCTGTGGGCTGCACTTGGGTGATGCGGGGTCAGCTATCAAACCCTCAGCCCGTGGGACCACTTTGCACTTTGGGCTAACCACGTGGCGTGCCGGGATTCTGCCGATTTTAATGGTTCCCGGCTCACCATTCCTTTTTTCCTTAGATAGAACATAGTCTGGAAAACACACGGAGGAAAAGGATCAAGAAAGATTCAGTCGTTGTCAAGTTCGATGGGAAAAGCCCAAGAATGCAATAACATTCTTGGAGGTTAAAAGAGAGAGAAATTAAGCATATCTGTGTGGGTGTCTTTTTACAGAGGCAGGGTATAAGAAACACCTATTGCTAGAAATGCAAACATTGATTAATTTTTAAAAGTGGTCTAATAAAGGCATCATCTGGTCCTGCATTTGTATTGTTTTGGAGACCACATGGTTATTTTCTGATTTTTGCCAACCTATTTCTAGATCCTTTTTGTCCTGATTTTTAGTCACTATGTTAAGGAACAGATTTTGTTTAAATGCTGTCTCAAACTTGCATCAAGTCTCTAATTGAGCCATGTAATTAAAGTACACAGATGAGCTTCTTTCCTGGGCAAACTCTCTCTCTGTACATCTTTGTAAACATTTAAACTTTAGAGTGAGACCAAACAAGGCTTTAAGCGTGCTTAAATGGCTGCTCTCAGGGGGGCCTTGCAGAGGTCTGCAGAGAAAGAGGCTGGGTCTGCTCCGTTCCTGCTATCTTTCCACCCTCGGGCAAAAGTCCTTTTTTACCTAGGCTGGGCCTTGGCAACTCCTCGCTTCAAATGAAGGCAATTCAGCTCATGTGCTGGTGACCTATCTTGTTTTGTTAAGATTCTGGAGAATTTTAATGCCCGTGGTGTCTTAATGATGCAGTGAGTTTAATTCTGTTTTAGCATTTGTAATGTTGTTGTGCTTTAATACAGCTGTTTTCTTTAACACTGTTAAAAGTCACCTTGATTGCAGTTCTGAGAGGAAAGCGGCATGTAAATAAATACGCATAGAAAGCAAAATGTTTTCTTCTCTGTGTGCATGGCACACACACACACACACACACACACACACGGCTTTATCCTCCAGTGCAAGGATTCTTGTTTGGGGCTTTGGGCAATAACCTCTTTTCTCATTTCAGAACCGAGCGGTGCTCCATATTGCTCTGAGGAATCGCTCCAATAGTCCCATAAAAGTTGATGGCAAAGATGTCGTCCCGGAGGTGAACAAGGTGTTGGACAAGATGAAGAATTTCTGCCAGGTAAAACTTTTTTTTGCCCAGTAGACGGTGTGTAATGCTTCACACTTCATCCTGATTCGCCAGGGGTGGGTCCGCCGTTCCTTCCGCAAACTGAAAAACCTGCCGTGCCCATATGACTTCTGAATCCAAATCAAAGCCAATATTTGCTGAACATTCAAAGGGATCGCCTTACCTCTGCACTGAAAATGAACGGTGTGTCGATTATATGGCGCACCGCTCTTTCCTTGTGGCTTGTGAGTGGAAGGTGAAGCTCCCAAGCTTTGATAAGCATTTTGCTCCGGTTCAGCTACCTGTTTGTGTGCTGTTTGTGCAAGCCGGTGGAGAATCTGAAGTGTTTTCGGTGATGCGGGCGAGGGAGATGGCATTTCCCTCGATTCTTGTGTTGCTGGGGAAAAGGTGGTCTCCATGCCCGGTGGTGGTTGGCAGTGCAAGAGAACGCAGAAGAGGACCTGCATTCCAGCACTTGGTCCTGTGTCAGAGGCTAATTGAACGTTCCTATTTGGTGGTTGTGGCACAGAAGCAAAAAAACAAGACCCAAATGGGAGCAGCTCCCGCAGACCCGGTTGGTGAGCCAGGAGTAAGATGCAGCTGCTGGGAGCGTTTAAAAAGGGGGACTTGCCGCTGTGGGCCCCTGTCCCATTCAGGATGGGGTGGAACCAATGGGGCTCTAAAGAGCCTTTTGTGGTAGAGACACGTGTTTCTCCTTCATCTTGTGGGGCTTTTTTAGACAGGAGGAAGGAGAACAAGGGCTTTAGACAAGGGCTCCCTTGAAACCTCACTGCCCTCCGTCCTTCGCCGTACAAAGCCTTCCACAGATTCCACTTGCAAACGTCATATGGTTTTATAAATTCACCTGTGTTCTTCATGCATTTGGGAGCACAGCTTCTGATAGGAAATAACTGCTCATTGCTAAATGAATACATTTGACAGCCTTGTGGTGCTTCAGCAGCTTGATCCCAGGTCTGAAGAACCAGGCTACAGTCTATAAAAATAGACAACAATAAATGTCTTTTTGTCTTTAAGGTGCTGCGCAGGGAGGATTTAAAAAAATAGATAATTTTAAAATCAATTTGAATTTTTTTAAAAAACTCATTGATTTTTTTTATCCACCCTGCCACAAGATGTTTCATGGTTTTGTTGGCAACTGCCTACGCTGCCTATTACCTTGGAAATTTGAATCGCTCTAGATGTGCAACTCTTAAAAAAAGAGTTGGAAGCGGCTGCTCCATTAAATAAATAATGAGCTCTAGCCAGCCAAGCGTCTGACGTCCAGTCATGAAATGCCAGGCCTTGCCTTGGAAGTAAGAGACGGCGTGAGTCGGACATCATCGAAAGCTTCATCTCAATACCCCTCTGCATCGTGTCTTTGTCTTTTCCTTGCAGAAAGTCCGCAGCGGCGACTGGAAAGGCTACACGGGAAAAGCCATTACGGATGTGGTGAACGTGGGGATTGGTGGCTCCGACTTGGTGAGATGTGCTCCTCTCTCTCTCCTCCACGGGAAGGCAGCTGCTCTGGGCATCCCTCTGACTGTCATCCTCTTTTTCCGCCTCCCTTTCTCCAGGGCCCGCTTATGGTGACTGAAGCACTGAAGCCATACTCCAAGGGAGGGCCTCGGGTTTGGTTCGTTTCCAACATCGACGGCACCCATATTGCTAAAACTCTGGCCGAACTGAATCCCGAGACAACCCTCTTCATCATTGCCTCTAAGGTACGTCCTGGCCCGCTTCCTCAGTGGCTCAGGCGAAGGGGGCTCCTCCGTGTGTGTGCGCCGGTCCAGGAAGTGGGTGGCTAAACTGGGATGTGTGTGTGTGTGTGTGTGCAGAAATTCCCAGACTCCATTGGAGCGGCTGTGAGCGCTTCGCTCTGCAGGGGCTGGTGAGCTGCCAAGAGAGAGAAAGGAAAGAACAGACGGCTTCCATCAGTTCCCCCCCCCCCCCAAGCGCTCACTGGCAGAATCTGTCCATTCTGCATGAACAGAGTGGTTGGCAGGGATCCCAAACCATTCTGTAGGAACCCTTGATTCTGCTCCGTTTTTGTCTCCCCCCCTGCCCGTTTAAAAGGTGCAATAGACTGATTGCCAAAACGTCCTGGGAAGGTGCACGTTTTATCTATGAATTGGCTGGCTGGAATTCCCACACGGCATGTTTTAGGGTTGGAGGCCTCGTCATTTACGTTCAGAGTTGTGTTTTAGTTGGGAGGCCGCTGGGCTGAGCCCAGAAGGTCCTCGTCAGTCGCAGCTTTAAAGCATGTCAGGCTTTGCAGGGGGATTAGGCCAGTGAATAGGGGTTAGGGCCTATGAGAGACAGGATTCGAACCCCATGCTTGGCTCTGGAAACTCACTGGGGGAGTGGCACTGGTAAAAACACTCCTTAAATATCTCACATCCCTTGAGAGCCCTATTTGGGTCGCTGTCCGACCTGATGGCACCGAAGACACACCTAAAGGGCTCTGGGTCTTCTTTGTTGGCTAGGTCTGTTTCTTTAAAAAATCATGCCCTTTTCAGAATGCGAGTCCTCCCCGCTGGGCGCCATCAGTAATGGGTCGCCATGGGAGGCCGGCTCGTGGTCCTTACCTGGAGCATCAGGCCACTTGTCCTGTCCAGAGGATGCTCTTTGGAGGGGATGTGCAGGGCTGGTGTGGTCCAGCGGCATTCAGGACCCCAAGAGAGCCTTTGCTGGGTCCAGGCGGCTTGCTTTTCCTCTGGTGTTTGGAAAGTGGCCCAAACTGGGCTTCCTACCAGTTTGAAGCAAGGGTGCAGCATTGGCGGCAGCTTCTCAGGGGTCCACAGAGCTGATTTTCCCACTCACAGGACCCACGGGGGGCTGTACCGATCCCCCCCACCTACCAGTGACCAGGAATGATGAAAAATCAAAACCGAATTCCATAGATCATCTGCTTTTGGCTTCCTTTTTATGGGTTTTGTCTTAGAAGGGGCCTGTCTCTTCCTGCAAAACCATGACGGCAAGAGCAGGAAACTGGGGTTTTTTGCAGATCTTTTTTGGTCATAAGTGACATTTAGGAGTTACAAAAGTAAGCTTGGAAGAGCCATCATGGTCTGCCTGCCTCAGCCTCCGCTGCATTAATGGGGACGGGACCTTCATCCGTTGGGGAGAACAGTGGGCGGTGGAGAGGTCAGGACCTGCTCCTCGTTGTGAATGGCTGTAGCAGCGAAAGGCGGCCCTCGCTTTGTGGGTGGTGTTCCTCTCGTGATTTCGTCTTGGAAATGGGAGACGGAGGCCAGAGAGGCCGGAGCAGGAATGGGATTCCAAAAAGCTAGCCTTGCTTTTGCAGTTTAGGCGTGCCGCCAGAGAGCTGTGCATCTCCACCAGGAAAGGCGAACCTCACTTGGCTTCTGCCTGCTGGCTAACTAGATAATTGGACCGCTGTGGAAAGGGAAGAAGGGGCCTTGCTGAGCTTTGCTTTATAAAACCATCCTATTCTTGTATAATTGCTCCCTTTCTGGAGACAGATGGGAGGAGAACGGAATGTGAGGCTGGCCTTCCTAGTTCCATTGTGATGGTTCAGTAATTTCGAATGAGGAACGTGGTTCTTGCATGACTAACCGTGTCTCCGCATTTTTCATAAAGCCAGCCTTTTCAAAACTTCTGGTCTGCTAATGAGCAAATCACATTGTCTTCTTGACGAGCGAAGAGAACAAGCAGATCTGTGTTGGAGCTTGGAAGCAGGAACGGAGAAGGGGCAGGTCTTGGCTGGAAAGGCTCCACCGTTCTTGCAGGTTTCAAAATTAGCCATCACCGGAAAGATCTATTTAGGAAGGGCAGGAGTGGACACTCGTTCTCTGGGCTTTTCGTCACACGTCCATCAAAAGTTTGAAGTGCCTCCTCTTGCCCCTTTCTCTGCTGCAGCAAAAGGTGGCCGGTGCAGAATTTCGTTCTTCAAACTATCACGGTGTCTTTTTCACAAATGGGGGCAGGTGGTTGCCACAAAATGAGTATAATGCAAAGAACAGAAATGACCACCTTTCTCAAAAAACAAAACAAAATCAGCGGAAACTTCCACAGAGAATCCTGGCAGTGTGCGGGACCGTGCATTTCAGAAGCCAGGAAAGAATTCTGAGCAGTTTGGATTTCTGGCGTCCTTCTCTGTGACTGATGCAATTTAAATGCATACAAAACATTGAAAATGCAGGATAATGTGTGCAAATATGAGGTTCACGGCCATGACCCTATAAGATGCCAGGGCCGCCTGTTCAGATGATTGCACTTTTCTTGCCTTGTGACTTTTACAGGTGATGTAGCTTTCTTGCCCAGACTGGTAACTTTTCCCCTTTCTCTACATTTAGACTTTTACTACCCAGGAAACAATCACCAACGCTGAAACAGCCAAGGAATGGTTCCTTAATGCGGCTAAAGATGTAAGTAGGCCTCTCCGTGCTTTGAAAACCGGCATGTGTCCTGGGTGGTTATTTGTGTAGCAGCCAAAATAGTCTGTTTCATTCCCCTGCCGTTTCTTGAGCGTCACTGCTCTCCAGTCATCTCTCCATAAAGATGGTTTGCAGACCAGTCTGGAATCATGAATTTGGCCTCTGAGGAGTGACGTGGTTAATATTGGTGGACATGGTGCAGAGGAAGGAAGGTTTATTTTTCTTGGGGGCGGGGGGGAGGCTGAAGAACAGCTCCAGAGTTGCAAAACGTGGCTCGGCTAAGGGCCCCCGCTTTTTGGTGGGCCTGTGCCTCAGAACGGAGAGAAGCCCAGTCGACTGCAAAGAAACATGAGATTAAAAAGAGGCTAGCCCGTTGCCACTTTGAAATTTGGCACCTCCATTGCACTTTGAAACCAGGGTATACTTGAGACGGAGCTGGCCTTTCCAAGATAGATGTCAGGACTATGAATAGTAGGTTTCCTTAAGTGAGACCCTGCTTTTCCCAGGGACCCGCGTTGGTCTGCCTGCTTCCAATTCTTCTGTGTTTGAACTTCTGGATAGCCCAGGGGTTGAATTCAATTCCTGCACTGGGCCTCTTAGGCAGGGGCTGGACTTCACGATCCTTAAGGGGTCCCTTCCAGCTCTGCAATTCTGAGAGTGTTATCTTAGTCCTGATCAAAGGACAGAGCAAGGTTGAATTGGGCTGTCATGGACTGATGCATGTTCTAGGAGAGGTGGGTGGCGCCAGGATGCTGACCAAGAGGAGGGGATGGTGGCCTTCCCGGGAGCAAAACAAGCCACTTGCTGTGCCCTAAGGCTGATCCCTGCGTCTTTATATCGGTGGGGGTGGGGGTGGCTTGAAGTCAGGCACCCTTAGCCACTCTCCCCTTTGTTTCCAAACGGGGAAGGCTTTTGTTCCTCGTCCAGCCTGCTTCTTCCGCCCTTCCAAAGCACAACAGCTGCTTTTTCTGTTGCTGCAGCCCTTGGGTTTGAAATAAACCTCGAGGTTGCAACAGAACCCAAGGCTTCCAGCAGCTTAGAGATAAAGTAGTTAAAATGAAATAGATAAAAAGTTCTAAAAGTACCTCTATATCTTGGAAGGAAATGTAGGGAAGGTTAAAACTAGTGACACCGTGTGGGGGAGATTTCAGAGTGACATATGGCCCTGTCGGTGAGGCGTGCGTGCCCTTCTCTAACGGACTCTTTCCTTTCCGTTTCTCTTCTTAGCCTTCTGCTGTGGCCAAGCACTTTGCTGCTCTTTCTACCAATGGGGTGAGTATACTAGGGGGCGCGCACGTGCGTACGTCTCATTCAAGCTCAGGAGTAACGACAGGCCCACACCAGAGAGCCACTGCATGATGGGGTGGGTCAGATTCTCCCCTGCAGTCTGCGCCCACCTGTGTAGCCAAAACAGGACACCATCTGCGACTGTGCAGGGAGAGGGTCACCGCAGCAGGCGCTGGATCTTCCCTAAGACTGCGTGCAGAATTACCAAGGTGGGAAGGTGCTCCAGGGCAGGAAAGCAGGTGGTGGTGGGGCTAACGTCTTAAGCTGTAGCCGTTCTCCAGCTACAGTTATTGGTGTAACAATGCCGTTGGGTTTTGGCCTGTGTTCGGTTGCTGGTGGAAGACTCAAAAGTGCTGAAAAGTGCATGGCCACCAAGGGCGCCTGCACAGACTGGCTGGTCTTCAGAGGATAGATACATACAGTGGTGCCTCGCAAGACTATCTTAATTCGTTCCGCGAAAATCGCTGTTAAGCGACAACATCCTCTTGCGAAACACGTTTTCCCATTGAAATGCACTGAAAACCTGATAATCTGTTCCAATGGGAATGGATTGTCATCGTAAAGCGAAAATCGCCATAGGAAACATCGTTAAGCGAAACACGTTTCCCAAGCGAAGACAGCCATCTAACGAAACAGCGACCATTAAAAGATCCATCTAGTGAAGCAAGACCAAGCTGTCAAAAACACCGTAAAGCGAAAAACAGGGACCTAAAATTTAACCGTCTTGCGAGGCAAGGTCCCTAACATCGTAAAGCGAAAATTGCCCATAGGAAACATTGTTATATGAAGCGCAAGATTGCTCCGAAAACCTCACCGTAAAGCGAATTCATCATTATGTGAAGCAATCGTCTAGCGAGGCACCACTGTATCTAGGAGAAGAAGGGGGAGGCCTTTGGGTAGCCGAGTCCCGAGCGGATCAGAGCCTTCGGGAAGAGGAACAAATTGCTGGAATTGTACTCGGGCACCAGCTGGCTGACGGTTTCACGATCCCAGCCTCATTCTCCCGATCAAGACTTAAGAGTAAGAGACATCTTTTTGCACCAGTCTGTAGTTCTGGTGGTTTTCAGGGGCAGACCTGAGCAGAGGGCTTTCCTCGTTGTCCAGACCAGATGTAAACAACAGGCGCGCATCAGGCTAGGCCTTTCTACCAAGAACTGGCAAAATTTTGGTGGGAAAGCTGCCTTTTGGCTGACTGTGGGTTGAGGTGAGAGCGCGGCAGAAGGTTCCAGGCAGGCCTTTTCCTCTCTCGTTGGCCAAGTGGAAGAGGTGGATCCGAAGGCTCCCAACGCGAGGGAGCAACGTGCGCTCCCCCGCGGAGCCTCTGGGCTTTTTCCAGGTGCCTTGTTCGGGCTTCTCCGTAACTTTGCCAACTTAACAGTTTTTCGAGGAGTCTGGTCACAATTCTTACCTTGCAACTTCAGCGGCAAGGGGATGATGCACTGACTCTGGTTTTCCTCCTCTTCCTCTCTTTTCTCCCCAGCCTAAAGTGAAAGACTTTGGAATTGACACTCAGAACATGTTTGAGTTTTGGGACGTAAGTAAGACCACACTTAACCTAAGGCCAGCACTTGGCCTCCGTCCCCGCCGGTTTCACATTTCCCCCTTGCTCTCTCCTCTCGAGGCATTTTCTCAGTGCCAAGGGAGGCTGTTCCCCCACCCGGCGGAGCCCACCCGGGAGGTGTTGCTGGTGGGCCGCTTTTCCGCAGGGCCCGTCAAAGGTCAGGCCTGACGAGAACCCTCCCCAGCCCATTTCGACCTCAACAGCTGCCCCGGGTAACAGGAGACCCATCGCTGAGGGGGTTGCTAGTGGCCTCCACGCTATTCTAAGCGATGGCATTTGGCAGGGGGCAGAGCTGCGGTCAGTAAAGGTCAGGTGTTGGCCAGTGAGGGGGGGGCAAGCGATGGGTGGCACCTGACCTTTGATCTTTGAGTCACGCGGAGCCTGCTTTCAGAACCTTCCCCTTTGGGGAGGTTTCGAAGCTTCTGACATGAGGAGGATGGTAACTGTAGGCGGTGTGTTGGGATCGGGTACCCGGTCTGGTCCTTCTTCCCTCCCTACATTTTCATTTTTTTAAAGTGAAAAACAAACAGGATTGGAGACACCTTTCCTTGAGTTCACACGTAAGCGTGCATGGAGGTCTGTGGCCGAGTCCTGTTTCCTTTGCATATGAGGAATGGAGGGCCCAGGCTGTTTTGCTTCGAGGTGGCTGTTCTCGGCTCTCCTCTTTTAATTCCTGCTGTCAAAAGATGCTGTGAATATATTTGCAAATCCTTAACAAGAAAGGGGTGTCTTGACACAGGAGGACATGGGCAGAGAAAAAAAATCACCTTTTGCAAGATGTCCTTAGTCAATGGAAGAGTGAGACAACCATCGTCCTTTTCCATCCAACACAGAAACCACCCTGGTCTTTTTCCAGCAGGGAGGAAACATTTGCATTTTTACCTTCTTCCCTTGGAGAACAAATGAAACCAGCGAAGGTGCCCCTCTCAGCTGCTGGCTGAGTAACCCTCCTCCCTGTTCTTTCCTTGCAGTGGGTCGGCGGCCGTTACTCCTTGTGGTCGGCCATTGGCCTCTCCATCGCCCTCCATATCGGTACGTACCCAGAAGCCTCCCCATAAGGAGTGCCCCTCCTAACAGTGCCCGTGGAAAGTGGTTTTAGGTTTACGTCTCAGCTTGCTAAGTCTTTCCCTGCCTTTTTAAAAAAAGGGTACTTTCTTGGAAAGGCAATTTAACAAACAAACAAACAAAACAAATGGCCTGATGCAGAATTCCGTTCTTCTTTCCTGATCCCCTTTCTGCCAGAGAAGTAGGCTTGGGAGTCTGTGCAAGCATGTCAGACAAAAGAGAGCAAAATAAAAAAGGAACACCTTTGTGGGTCCTTAAATATTTCATCTCGTTCTTTTGCAGAGGCCTGACTGTTGCTTTGGAGACTTTGAAATGTTCTCTGTTTCTGTTAATTCCTGTTTAGGTTTTGATAACTTTGAGAAGCTTCTGGCTGGGGCACACTGGATGGTGAGTAACTTGGATATTCTGTTAATCAATCTGTATATAAACAAGTGGGTGAATGAATGAATGATTCCAGTGCGGGACCCAGTTGTGACTCAGAACATGAATCAAAAACACATCCAGCTTGCAGACACAATACACGTATATGTGTAATGTTAAATAACGTAAAATTAAGTTGTCATCAACATGAAAAAGAGCAAAATAAAAAGAAAACACAACACGTTACCCTTAAAAGGGACTTCCTAGACAGCTGATCCCTGGTCAGAAGACTTCCCTGCTGTCAGAAGGACAGCGTGACAAGGAAGGGAGGCCCCAGCCTGGAAACAACCGCTGGGAAGAAGTCTCTCTCCTTCTCTCGCTTGCTTACTCGCTCATGTTCTTGCCAGGGGACAGGATGGTGGATCGACATGGTCTCCCCTGTAGATTTTAAGAAACCAGGCAGGCTCCTAGAGGAGCCACCCAGTCCTCCCAATGGCCTGGATGGACGTGGTGGAAGGACTTCAGCAGTTGCTCTGAATTGTGCCACAAGAGGGACTGAACTGGAGCTGTTTTAACTAGACATTTCTGTTCTTCCAGTAAGTGGCAGAATGCCCCCCCAAAAAGACATCAAAAGTTGGCCCTTCCCTTGGGGGGGTGTTTCTGGCTGGCACTGAAGATCGGCTTGGCTTTCCTCCCGTTCTCCAGCCAGAAGCTTGGAGGGCCTTTGGTGAAACCGGCACTTCTTGGGCGGCCAAAGTTGCCGCCAAGCATCCATGCCGTCCAGCCTGTAGCTCTCGAGTCGTAACTCCACCCGGTGTGGTTAAGCTAAATCCAAGCTTCCCAGAGCTTGATGCTCATGGCCTTTCTTTCCCCGGGGAGTGTAGAGCTTTGCTTAGATTTCCTTGGCTGGCCCGGGGGGGGGGCTCCAGCTTTGCTTTGCTAACGTGCTCTTGCTTTGATGCCCTCGGCGCGACAGGACAATCACTTCCGCACCGCTCCCTTGGAGAAGAACGTGCCTGTTCTGCTGGCCATGCTGGGCGTCTGGTATATCAACTGCTACGGGACAGAGACCCAAGCGCTCCTGCCCTACGACCAGTACATGCATCGCTTTGCTGCTTACTTCCAGCAGGTAAGGTCCCTTGGCGTGCCCAAGGTGGCGGGTGAGAATCAGGCGCACCTCTGGGATGGAAGTGGGGGGCTCTGAAACCGGGCAGAAGGAGGTGGAGCTCTGCTTCCCCCTCTGCCCAGAAGAGGCGTGGTAGGCTTCGTGGACCACCCTGGCCACGGCAGCAGCCCAGGATAGCCACCTGGCGCCCCTCCTGGTGGGACAGCGAGCGGGGGTGGGGGGAGTGTAGCTTTCCCCATGTCCTTCCAACATGTTTTCAGTGTAGTCTTGCCAAGACAATGAAAAATAACAATTACAGATTTAGCCTCTCCCCAGAATCAGTGTGTTGCCAATATACCTTTTTTTTTAAAAAAAGATGGAAGTCTTATTTTTCTTGCTTTCCCAAAAGTAATCAGTGTGTTGCCAATATACCTTTTTTTAAAAGATGGAACTCTTATTTTTCTTGCTTTCCCAAAAGCTGCTAAAATAGTCTCTCTGAGCATTCACACACACACATGCTATAAACTTAGTGCAGTGGAGTCCAAAACACATCATCGTCATGAGCGTTTACTCCATCTATGTAACTATAAAAGTATTTAATAATTCTATTGAATGTTTATTACCCTGTCCTGTAGCTGGCTGGGTTGCCCAGTAGTCGAGGTCTCCGGCTGCAGAGCCAGAAGTTGGGAGTCTGATTTCCCCCCCACACACACACATACACTATGTGCCTCTTTGACAGGGGCTGGACTAGATGATCCAGAGGGCCCCCTTTCAGCCGTGCCATTCTAAGTAAAAGCAGTGATTGAATACGTTGCAAGAAAAAATAGAAGAGTAAGCTCTTGCGAGTTTGCAATTGCAATGGAACTTCGTTTCTGCCCAGGTCCCTCCAAAGAGGGCTTAATTAAAGGTAGCTTATTATTTTTAACAAGTGGTGGTCCAAATGCTGCCACGGTGGGTTCAGTTCTATCCACTCGGGAGTATCGGAGGCCAACGTCAAGTCTGTTGATTGCTTAGGGAGACATGGAATCCAATGGAAAGTACGTCACCAAGAAAGGCACTCGCGTGGACTACAAGACAGGCCCCATCGTCTGGGGCGAGCCAGGAACCAACGGGCAGCATGCCTTCTATCAGCTGATCCATCAAGGTACGGGGGGTGGGTGGGAAGAGATCCGCCCTTGACTGAGCCTGGCAGGGACCCGGGTGCTGCATTTTGGGCCACGGAGGGGTGAGAGGTGCCTGATTGAGCCTTAGAGCGGCCAAGGCTTTGGGTGGATTAAAAATTAAAGCTGGAATCCACAGGGCAGAATTTTTGCACAGAGAGGCTGGCCGCTTTCCGAAAGGGCTCTGTAAAAGAGGAGCAGTGGGGAGGCCGCGGCTGGGGCTTTTTCCTGATGCTTTCGAAGACTCTTCCTTGGATCAGCGTCAGCCAGGAAAGCAGATTTTAGGATTGGGTAACAGGAGCAGAGTTTGGGACGATAATGTTAAAAGTTGCTTTTAAAATGTTGATTTCCAGATGCCTCAGTTGATTTGTTTTCTTACTTGATGGAAAAAAATAACAGTTTTCATGTTAGCCTGTTATTTCCAAGTTCTGAGTTGGAGCCAAGGAGGGCTGGACGTTCTTACGGCACATCAGTTTATTACAGCATTTCTTGCGCTTGTGTGTCTCTGTGCAGGGACTCGCATGATCCCTTGTGACTTCCTTATTCCAGTCCAGACCCAGCATCCCATCAGAAATGGCCTGCATCACAAGGTAAAATAAAAGACCTGGAGGAAATTCTTCTTCCTTACTCTTACCCAACCCAGAATATGCTAGCAGTGTGCAAATCCTTGGGTTCCTTTCAGCAAGGTGGTTATTTCAACTTCCTGCCATTTTCAAAGTTGTACAAATAACGGTGGAGATGACTGAGAGCAAATGTTTGAAGTTTTGAACACGATGGGTCTGCAAGAATGTGACCTAGAATGGAACCTAGAAAAGGGACATAAGAGACCGTTCATAACATGGTTTGAAGACGCCAGTCCATCGTTATCAGTCGATCACGGTTAAGTGGAAGGTGATCAGCGGTTCACTGCACATGGTAGATCCTGTTGCTGTCTTGTTATGGGAGGTGCTCCTCTCAATGTACGTGCGCGCACACAGCTGTGGGGCGAAAAAGCTCCTCCTTACATGTTAAAGAACTGTAGTTTTAGCACTTGCTAAATTGAGATGATTTATTTAAAACATTTATACCCTACCCTGTATCACAGGACCTCACAAGGGGTTACGGAGCCATATAAAACAATTTAAAAGCAGAAGGTGGTTCGGAACCATTTAAAATTGACCAGCTTAAAACATTAAAGCCATTGAACTAAAATAGGTGCAGACCTAGAGATGGGCATGGACCTCCAGTTTGCCCTTTGGGTGAACGGTGGTTCGTTGCTTCCCAGCCGAGCCTCTTTCACTGTTTCTGCTACTTTTGGGGGGTCTGAGTTCTCCACAAGATGTTTCAGCTGCAGCGTCCTCCGTGCTCCAGCGGCGATTCAAGGGTGTAGATCTTTTCCTTCGGGTTTTAAAGGGAGGTGGTGGCAAGCAGAAGGACTGGGCGGCTGGCCTTCAGCTTTGGCTCTCGGCAGACTCTGCGGCTGGACGGCATTTGCTTGCCTCAAGCAAGTCGATCCTGAAACAGGCGCGCCAGGCTTCACCTTCCTTCCTTCCTCCTGTCTCGTCCTCCTTTTTCTAGATCCTGCTGGCCAACTTCCTGGCTCAGACGGAGGCTTTGATGAAAGGGAAAACCTCCGACGAGGCACGCAAAGAGCTGCAGGCGGCTGGGATGAGCGGAGAGGCTCTGGAGAAGCTCCTTCCTCACAAGGTACCCCTGGGGCATCATCGCAAGGCCATCTTGCAAGCCCCCTGGGATTCCCACCCTACTGCACACGCACCCCCTGGGTGTTTCCAGCTTGTCGGGTGGTGGTGGAGGGAAGCGTGTGGGGTTTCTGTCCGACGATCCGAAATGGATCTCTTTCCTTCTCTTTTCTTGAAAGGTCTTTGAAGGGAACCGCCCGACCAACTCCATCGTGTTTACTAAACTTAACCCATTCATTCTAGGAGCCTTAATTGGTAAGTGTCTGCCTTCCCGTTATGTCTGCTCGTTGGCCCCACCTTGTTTCATAACGCCGTCCTAATGCTTTCTCTTTCGTTTAATAAACCTCTTTCCAGCCATGTACGAACACAAGATCTTTGTCCAAGGAGTCGTGTGGGATATTAACAGCTATGATCAGTGGGGGTAAGTAAGTCGCTCCTCAGCAGAGATGCTCCTGCTCCCTTTTTTCTTGACGGGTTGCAATCCTGTCGGTGTCTTTATCCCCTGCCGGGAAGGGATCTGCCTGTCCAGCTGCGTCTCAGTGGCCCGGTGGGGGCCCTGCCTTGCCCGGCCCTTTTAGCCAGAATTAGCTGCTCATGAGGCTGCCAGGGGGGTCCTGGACACAAGAATCCCTCTTTTCTGGGGGGTGGTGATGGTGGCAGGACTCCTCCCTTACACACAGCCCTCCTCTCAGGTCAAAAGGAGAGTAAGCTGGACTGGCTCAGAAGAGGGAGAAATTGCTCCTTGAATCTGGGTAGCAAAGCACATGCAAATAAATACCCAACTTCTCATACCAGTCGTGATGGGAGAGGGTGACTCCCATCTCCTGCCCCCCCACCTTCCCTCTAATGACCCCTGAAGTGAATATTCTGGGGAATCTTTTCATTCAGCAAGACTTGGGTTGCTCCCGAGCCCTTGCAATTCTTTGCAGCAGTCCAGAGCCGTGGGGAGCGTTATGACCGAGGTGGGGGAAGCTTCCTTGGTAGGCCAGTTGTGCTGTTTTGATGTAGCCTTCCTTCGGAGCAGAGGCAGACGTGGCGTTTCCTCTTGTGATGGGCCTTAAAAAATGGGAGGTGGGAATGGGGGGGAGACAAAAAAAGGTGCCATTTTCTCTTCTGGAAGCATTGTGTCTGGTCTAAAAAAAAGGGTGCAGGGACTGCCTGACAAAACCCAGTAGTAGAAATTCCAGGAACCCTTTTGCTGGTTTTGGGGGATCTAGCAGGACTTCGACCTTCTAAAAGGTGGTTTTGAAGTCCCCTCTCCTAAGCAATCTGGGGAAACGAGGGGCTGGAAGTGTGGGGCATGTCTGAGCCTCCCTGTGTTTTGCCCGTTCTTCCCCCCTGCCTCAACCGCCACCTTCCCTGGGCCCTTGGGTCCAACCCAGCGTGGAGCTTGGCAAGCAGCTGGCGAAGAAGATCGAGCCGGAGCTGGCGTCCGACGACCCCGTGACCTCGCACGACTCCTCCACCAACGGGTTGATCAACTTCATCAAGAAGCACCGGGCCTGATCCGGGCGCCACCGGAGGACGCAATCCAGCCACCGAACACCGAGATCGATGTTGTAGTTGCTGCTTTTAGCCAAATTCTGCCAAAATAGCACTTTTTTCACTGGTTTTGGCCTCTTTGTTGTTGACGGTTAGCTTTGTTGCATCTCAAGCAGTGTCACAGATGAAGTTTTTTTATCTTGTGAGACTCGAAAATGTTGTCGTTTAGTGGCTGTTTGTGGCAGCTGAATTGTTAAGATGTTGGGTACTGTGTCCCTCACTTCGCTACTCCTTGTGTAACACCCGATGAAAGCTGGACTGTGGGTAGTTTAAAACCCTATTTTCCACACTCAGTTTCTTGTGAATCCAGTGCAACGTTGAGAACCCCCGGCCTTACTTGTACAAGATTATACCAGAATTAACACATCCAAAAAGCGTGTTTATGTGGTCTTACTCTGAGGTGTGAATTTGGCTTAGTTCATGCACCGGGTAGTTCTACTAAGTCTTCTGCGACAACTGAAAACCTTTAATTCTGCAGAAAAGAGAAGCAACGGTCGGTTCAAGGAAAGGATGTCCCTTTCTGGGTGATGAACACTATGTGGGTGGAGCCCCTCGTTCTAGAGTGGTTTGGGACTATGGGTCTACTCTGGAGCAAGGTGCCTCTTCCCCCAAGTTCCTTCTTTTAACAGGTACATTCATGTTCTTCACCATGTATAAACCCTATGCTAGTTTTTGTTTTGAAATAGACCAGAGATCCTGGTGCCGCTCATCTAAAGGGGACGCCAGATATTTGGTTCCCCCCCCCAAACGAACCACCGTCACCAAGACATGTAAGTTAAAGATCATACCATACTAACTATAAACATTGACAAATAATAAATGATAACTAAAGCCACATTACTTGCCAAATCTGACGTCAGTAAACCCATTTAAATCACCTTGGACATCCAATAGCACACATCCATACGAGGCAGTTTTCAACAATTCTGCTTCAAGTAGCTTCTTAAAAACGGGGAGGGAGGGGCCCTGGAAAACCTCGACTGCCCATTTTCCTCCAAAGACACAAGACCGCAATAGAGAATGCCTATTTAGCAACTTTCTTAACCTCCTTAAGGAGTTGCCATTTTCAACAATAATGTGTTGGCTAGGGAAGTGTTTTGCAGGAAATATTCCAGCAGGTATCGGGGTGATGGTGGTCCTAAATGGTTTAGGGCTTTATAGGTGATGTCTACATGTAGATATAGAGTAAGTAGAGCTAAAATACGGAAAATGAAATACCAATGAAATGCATCAGAGGTTTAAATGTGTGCCCAGCCAATCACTGGCTGGCTTCGTTAGTGCTGACGGATCATCAGCATCATACAACATTTTATGACCAGCAAACGAGGTATGTGGGGTGCTTCCAAATGCAGGAGTCCTGGCCCCTCTTCCACCCCAGCCAACCCGATTTTCCACACATTCCTAATAATGATTTAGCCTCTTGTAGACATGGAATGTTCTCCAGATGCTTCGTGATCCCTTCTCCGTGTACTTTCTCTGTTCCTTTCCAAAAAATGTTTATACTCCTGACAGCCCTAGCGCCCCTCCTATGTGTGAGGGTGTTTCCCTTTGGGGCTGGGCATCGGTAATTCAGCTCCAACCCTTCATGCCCCCTGGCATGGTGCTCTTTATGTGTCTGACAGATGGGGTTAACACAATTTTGCAGGAGGTGAAGAATGTCCTGGGCGGGGAAAACACTAAATGGGGGAACTTCAAATACTTTGGTCACATGGTGAGAAACCGAGGAGGCAGATTGGCTTCAGCGGATCACTCGAGGTCAAAATAAATGGGAAAAGTAGCTCAAGGAGGTAAAGACAACACCCCCCCCCCAGCTGAGAAACCTGGGAGTCTGGCTGGGATGCAGCACAATACCGACACTGGTTACGGACACTGCTTACGGTTGAAGACAGCTGTTATCAGCTCCGCTCTCCTGACGGGAAGTCAGGGAAGGTTTGGTGGGGAAATAACACCATCAAGAGGAAGGCTAAAGTATCCGTTTTGGGGGTGGCGGCGATGTGATTGGTGGAATAAAGCAACGAACTTACAAATACAGTGGTGCCTCAACTTACGAACTTAATTGGTTCCGGAAATCCGGTCATAACTCGAAATGGTTGTTAGTCGAAGGACCATTTCTCAGTGAAATGCAATTAATCCATTCCGGCCGAAGAAGAAAATCACCAAAAACAAACAACAAAAAACACCGCAAGATCCACTGAATTAATCCATTCCGGCCGAAGAAGAAAATCACCAAAAATAAACAACAAAAAACACCGCAAGATCCATTGGAAACGCAATTAATCAGTTCTGGCCAAAGGAAGAAAAAAAAAATCATGCAAGACCCTTCGGAAATGCAAGAAAAGCAAAGCAACAAAAATCAAACCCTGCAAGATCCATCAGAAATGGGGGGAAAAAAACAACCACCAAATTCCGGCCGAAGAAGAAAATCACCAAAAATAAACAACAAAAAACACCGCAAGATCCATTGGAAACGCAATTAATCAGTTCTGGCCAAAGGAAGAAAAAAAAAATCATGCAAGACCCTTCGGAAATGCAAGAAAAGCAAAGCAACAAAAATCAAACCCTGCAAGATCCATCAGAAATGGGGGGAAAAAAACAACCACCAAAAAACAGACCCTGCAAAAGACCCATCACAGCATAGAAACATAATCCCGCCACCCAGCCCGAAACCACGCTGCAAAACCCACCCAGAACAGTGTTTAAAAATTAGAAAGCGGCACCTTACCAGGTAGTCCAAAGCCTCCTCCGATCGCACACACTCTTAACCGCTAGGGCGGAAGAGCTACAAAAAAGTCCAAAGCCGCCTCCGATCGCACACACTCTTAACTGCTAGGGCGGAAGAGCTACAAAAAAACAGCCTTTTTGCCACCAATGGTTAGCAATTTGAATTTCCCACCTTTTTTTTGCAGCCGGAGCTGCTCGCAACTCAAGATTGTTGTGTGTTGGGACTTTCTTAAGTCGAGGCACCCCCGTAATCTGGTAGTTGACGGCCCTTTCCAGCAGGTGGCATCTGCAGGCTGTTCCAAAAAGACTGTTCAGAGAACACACCACAAGGCTGTGTGAGCGTGCAATGTGTAGGCGCATGCAGCCGCCATGGGGAGCGGCAAGAAACAGCCCAGACTTCTGGGGCTTCTGACACCACTGAGTGAATGGGCGAACTCATTCATGCACACAGCGGGCAGCTTGCTCCTGCAGGCAGGCAGATCAGGCAGGGATAAAAATCATGAGAACCCCATCTTCCAGGGAGAGCAAGAAATATGGTTGAGGGACAGGGAGAGTGCAGGAGGAAACAAGAACCGATGGAGGTGGTCCCACAACAAGAGGAACCAGGTAGCCAAAGAAGAATGAACGAGGGATGAGAAAGACGAGGGAGTGAACCACCTCCCAGTCACCAAGGCTCAGTAGCTCTGGGCGTCCCCTCCTCTCCACCTCCAGGTCTTCTGGACCGTCACTCAACTCGGACCCGGCCAAGAGGACCAAGTGGTGCAGATAACAAAGAGTATTCCTGCCTTGAGCAGGGGGTTGGACTCGATGGCCTTAAGAGGCCCCCTTCCAACTTCATGATTCTAGGATTCCATATTATGAGTCTAGCCCAAAATATCCAGATGATACCTGGGTGGGCGAAGGACAGGAGGAACGCTGTGGGCAGGTGCTGTCATGTCATGAAGGTGGAGCTCCATGGCATGCACGAAACAGTGTCGGGAGCCAAGTATTTCGTCCTCCAGGGAATTTTTTGGAACCGGGTGATTAACTGGTAGACAGTCAACCTGTGTTTCTTTGCAGTCAAGGGAACAGAAAAGGTAACTTCTTGTGACAAGTGCTGGCCCTCATTAAAGTTCAGATTGCAGAGCGCAGAGGGAGAAGGCAAGTCTTTAAAGCAATCTACCTTATAATTAAGACAATTGAGAATAATAATTTGATGCAAGATGAATGTGGGTTGGGCTGCCGTTCATACGGACAGTTCAGCCTCTCAATGCCGGAAAGGAAGAGGGCCACCGAGCACAGGGCCAAGCCAGGCGGTTGCTTTGCAAGGCGCCCAAATGGAGAGAGCACAGAGCCCGTCCAGCCGGGGCCAGAGGCTGCTGGATGAGAACAAGCACCAGAAAAGGGAGAAGTAATTTTAAATCTGCTGCAAAGGCAGATGTAAAAGGTATTGATCTTTTATGATTTTTATGGGTTAATTCTCTAAATGCACATAGAAACAATGCATTATGTTCCTATGTGTATTTAGAAAGACATGCACACACAGATAACCACCTCCTGTAGAAAAGTTCATTGTGAGGATTTGCACTCAGCCCAGGGGAAAGCCGGAAAGTGTGGGTGGTCAAAGGTTAGGGTCGTTCTTCTTAATTGAAAAATCCCAACACTTTGATCTTGCCGACCCTTCTATGGTTCTTCAGCTCCAAGACAGGGTCTCCCCCTCGCCTGGAATTGTGTTACTGTACTATTAAAGAACACACACACTTAATTCTATTGAAGGGGGTGAGGGAATTCACCAAAATATTACTTCAAATTTTTAAAAGGACCCCTCTTTTAAAAGGAGAAACTCTCAGGTGAGTCCACCTGATTGAAATAAGCAGAAGCCACACACACCTTTGTGTTAAGGGTGCATGCATTCATCAATATTCTGGGAAGGAACAGGGCTTTCATGTTCTGTTTTAAAGTTAAGTCGGCATGTCGGGAGTCTTCTGAAAATATCTGAAATGCATTCGTTCCTTTTGAGGACGCTCGCCTGCTCCGGGAAGATGTGACGACATCCGTTGGAAAGCCTTCTGGGTCAATCGGGACCATGGAGCCTTTGCTTGTTTAATGCATTGCTGTTGTGTGTGTGTGTGTCGTCGT